ACGCATACAGTACATACTCGACTCTCATGCGGCGTTTGAAGACCTAATTTTGAAACTAATTTGACTGCAATAAATGGATATATAGTTTGGTCAACCAAGGAGTCATGGTCATCATTACATCCGCTAATTTTAAATCTCGTGTATCATGGAAACCCCTTAAAATTACCTTCCAAATTAGCTCTTCAAACATCGCATAATAGCGAGGATATACATATATATATATATATATATATATATATATATATATATATATATATATATACTGCTCGCAGCAAAAGAATTTAACACATCAGTTTTTTATAAATTCACAATAAAAGTTTCTTCAATTTGAATGATACTTCAATATACAGTATCAGATATCATTATACACACACAAATAACAACTATATATACATATACATACAGATATATGTACATGAATACAAATAGATAAGAGAACTAGCAAATAATACAAGTAATAACACTCTTACAATAACATAGCATTGTCCTTGAAAATATTACTACCCATTTTGTAAGTTAAATTGTATGCTATGTTTACAGTTAACAGTGAAATAATTCCTTTGATTTAAGAGATTGATCTTGTCTTTAAATCTAATGATCTCCAATTTTTCATTAACACATAGATAACAAGAGGCATATAGAGAATTACATGCTAGAGCTCTCTTAATTAATTTACATTTAACAGTAGGTGTTTTATTGTGGATAGCGGCTCGGATTGAGGAATCGGAGGGCCGAGTTCGAATTCTAGTCGATTCCATTACATTTACTTACGTGCTAATACCCTTGAGAATGATATGAATCCTCTTCTTCTCCCATCAGCTATAGGTTAAAAGCAAGACAGGCCGGGTTCGATAGACTTGGATGGCAAATGGTCTACTGCAGAAAGAAATGGCAACCTACTGCGGGAAAAAACTGCCTCGTTAGTCATGATTAGAAAGATACATGATCGCGATTATTATTATTGCCATTTTCGAATTGAGTTCAACGGCCTACTACATCAATAACTTTTACGAAGCCTCAGTGTGCATTCGTTGTCTATTTGTAATATTATTATATGTTTATAATTTATTTTCTTACGCTTTATTTAATATTTTACTGGCTCTGTAATTTAATCCATTTTCAGTTAGAGTGATGAGCACATTTGATTAACTCACAGAATTATTTAACACCCAGTAACACCTTACGTCATAGTGGCGGTATTACCTAACTTGGGGGGATAATTATAGCTATTGTTTCTTTTCATTGGGCTTATCATTAATTGAGCCCATATAAACACGCGCGCAAACACACACACACAGACACACACACACACACACACACATATATATATATATATATATATATATATATATATATATATATATATATATATATATATATATATATATATATATATATATATATATATATATATATATATATATAACATTAAAATTTCCATTCTTCGCTGCCGTGAGGGTGGCCTTGAGGTTAGATATCTGTCTGATATCAAATCAATTGGGTTTCGTTCCCGGCTTGAAGTAATCGGGCGTCTAGACACACTTTGAAGAGCTTTGAAGCAGTCTGTTTGTGAATGGCAGTGCATATATAAATATATATATATATTGGGTGACTCCCACTAAAAGAAATTGCCTTCATATTTTAGTCGAATAACAGCCAGTTACCGCTTATCTGCAATTTTAACAAAATGTCTAAAAACTATGTTCAATGTTCAATTTTTTTTCAAGGTGAAAAATTACGTTCGGTAAAAATGAAAAGACATTCTGTATGTTAGAATATGTGCAGCGTGCATTTTCTAGAAAATTTACCAATGAAATGCACCATCCAGAAATCAGATTTGGACTTCGCTTTAAAAAATTAAAAGGCCCTAAAGAATGTTACGCGAGACATGCTACAGCGTGTTTAGCAGGAGCTGGGCTACCGAACTGACGTAAGTCATGTCACCGATGGTGCGCACCATGAACGTTTGTGAATCTTTGTTATATCAGTTATAAAATCTACATCACTTTGTGTATCTTGTTCGAATATAGGTAGATAATTCTTTATTTGTTCAACATGAAACCTATTTAATTTCGTTTGCCTGGGAAATGTAGTTACTCAGATATTCACATTTTAAATTATGCCATTTTGTTTGGGACACCCTACATCCCTTCGAAGGTATTTTGCCATTTTATATCATTAACTTTACTAATTTACTTTTACTATGTATGATTCATTGTAATAATATAAACTGAACTGCATCACATATTTGACACACACACACATACACACACACACACATATATACATATATATATATATATATATATATATATATATATATATATATATATATATTCAATGAAAACAGACAACTTTAAGGGTCCATTGGTTAAAATTTATTTCTCCAGGGAATTTATTTTTCTCTGGATTATTAGACCACACTTCCAAGGGTGAAAAAATATATTTAAACTTACATATCGATATATATTTTACACTTTTGAGGGGTAGTATTGATGTAATGTAACATAGAGGGTAGGGAGAGAGATGACGACATACATGATCGAAATTAGTGAGAAAAAAATATATGTAAGTTTAAATTCACTATTTCACCCTTGCAAGTGTGGAAATTCCTTTATAACCAATGGATCCTTAAAGTTGTCTGTTTTCACTGAATGCATATATATATATATATATATATATATATAATTGGGTGGACTGATATGAGTTTGTGACCCTGGGTTTCAAATCCAAATATGTTAGATCTATCTCTGATAATGAACGCTTTTCTAATAAGTACTTATATAATATATAAATAATTATATATATATATATATATATATATATATATATATATATATATATATATTTATATTTATATACACACACTTTTCACACACACACACACACACACACACACACACACACACACACACACACATATATATATATATATATATATATATATATATATATATAATCGCTCGGATTTAACATTGATCTCTCTGAATTTCATCCTCCTTGGCATTATCCATACTGATTGCGAAGATTTTCATTACTTAACTATATATATATATATATATATATATATATATATATATATATATATATATATTATATATATATATATATGATTAATATATATATATATATAATTTTATTTATAGAAAGCTTTGTATAAATCATGTTCATTGGTTGACAAATATTTTTATGACAACTTTTTCTCTAGCCTTTCTTCGTAAAAAAGGACTTGGGAATGTAACGGGCCACGTTTGGTGCAGGTTTTCTTGTAGTTGACTAGAAACAGAACCCGTTGAAGGAGTTGCAAGAGAATGACTGAACTGGGGTGTGTTTTGTAGGGAAATGCTTGTCAAGTTTTGTCTTTTTTAACACCTTTTCATCTTATCCACCAGGTATGCACTGCATTCATTCTCGTAAGGACAGACCAGGCTATGTACAGTAAGTCGCCAGGCCTTCCTGATCGACGCGAAGTCAGAGAAAATGAATATATAAGAAGAATGTGTCACGTCCAATGAAGTAATCTGTCTGCATTCAAAATCGTCGCTTTCGTTGAGCTTAAAAACTGACAACTGGTGAATGTAGGAGATATGTTTTTTTGTATCGAAGAAGACCTGTACTTTTTCTTTTATTTGATAATTTAATTAGTTTTTTTTTGTTTTTTTTTTTATTTAACCTTCTTTTTCTACGCGTGACAATTATTTTTTTTTCGGTTCTGTTTAATTACCTTTTTCTTACTTTCTGATTTATTTCTTTTCTTTCTTTCTTTCTTTCTTTCTTTGTTTGTTTCTTTCTTTCTTTGTTTCTTTCTTTATTTCTAACATGAGCTTTCATCATGCTTTTTTTTTTCATTTTGTCGAAACCCATTTTTACTCTCCCAAAGCCATTTATCTTTTTCCTCGCAAAGTTAATTTTCCGTTTGCTTTTTTTTTTTTACAGTGTTTAATTGCCTTCATTCTTTGCTGTCTCTGGTGACTTCATTCATATCTATTTCATCACCTACTTTTTATACACACACACACACACACATATATATATATATATATATATATATATATATATATATATACTGGCAACTTAATTAAGTACACATGAACGCATGCGCTTTTATGTAAATTTGTAATCAGCCAATGACCTAATAGATATATAGGTACAGGAATTTCAACATGGTTATGACAACCTGCTGAATTGCATTTCAGGAAATAGTATTGGAACGGTAATTGATTTCAGTAACTTCGATCGCAGTATACTCGTTTGTTACCAATTGTGTATTTCAAAATCGTGCGATCTGCTCGCAACCAATATGCAAAACAAATCTCTTGGGTTTACAGCGAATGATCACAAATAGGAAAAGAAAATCTAATGGGCGGAAATTCCTCGTCGGCGAAAGAAGCTGGTGTACTGTACTGTACTGATGCGGCATTCACCCTGGGCGGATTGAGCCGGCTTCTTCCTGTTATGAGAAGAAGATTCTTGGGATAAATTGCAGAAGTAGGGTACCCAGGCCTACTCGGATAACGTTCTTGCTTGCCGCAGGGTTCCCACAGACCCAGAGACAGGAACGACCAGAAGCCGCCGGTTACCGATGCAGACGCTCCTTGGATTTTCACCAGAGCCCTTGTTAGCCAGCGTGTGTGTCAGACCTGTCCGCCTTGGGTGGCCCTACCAGGAACGAAGTTCCGGGCGGCATAGCTCTGACACTACCATTTACACCCCACCACCGACTGTGAGGTAAGGGTTAGACTTTGGGGGCTTACAGTACCAGGTGTTCCCAAGCGGTCCCCCATCTAAGTACTGACCTGGCTCTACGATGCTTAACTTCGGTGATCGTACGAGAACCAGTGTTTCAGCGTGATTGGACCGTAAGCCTGTAAGAAGCTGGTGGGGTGAATATGAAGACTTGTTCAGGGTGATAGAAAGCCAACAGTTTCCAAGTGAGGTACTCAGAAAACCAATTCTGAAATTATCGAAACTGGAAGCAGATCTGGCTTACGACCGCGTCACGTTGAAACATCGGTTCCCGTACGATCACCGAAGTTAAGCAACGTCGAACCTGATCACTATCTAGATGGGTGACTGCTTGAAAATACTAGGTGATGTAAGCTTGGGTGTGAGGGTGGTGCAATAGATAATGGCCCTGAATCGTTAATCGGCGAGCGGAGTTCCAATTCCCGTTGGGAGCGTTATATTTACTTATGCGAAAATAAAACTGGGAAAGATATGAATCCATCTTTTCTTCCCAAGTATGGGTTAATTAGTAAGAATTGTATCACTGAATTGTTATTATATAAAATAAAAACTTTTTACAATAAAAAAAATATTTTCTGGCTTTTAAACAACCTGAAAATGGTTATTAAGCGCTAAAAACATTCAATGATTGAAGTAGATAGGCTACAGCAGCAATAATTACTCCTGGCTGATAAAAATAAGAAAACTAAGCATCAATTCACTAAGGATCACAAAAATTGTTAAAAAAAAACGTGTTTCCTGATCTCATGAGGCATTTGGATGTTAGGTTTACAATCAAAGAGTACTATATGAAAATATATATTCTTCCTGCATTGTATCAGCGTGTAGTGGTGGTGTTATGTTATGAAGAATACTTTCCTGGCGTACATTAGGGCCTTGGCAGCGAGATGAAACAGTTTAAATGCCGCAACCGACCTTGGTACTTTGCTGGACCACGTACTTCACTATTTAGTGCTCATGTTCTCTTGGTGCCACTTCCGACAGAACAAATTACCGTGAGGCAAATAAAAAATAGTTCAAGAAAGACAGCAGTGAGTTTTCTCTGTTGAACTGGGTTCCTCAGTTAGAGGATCTGAATCTTATACAGTACATTTGGGATGTGGCAGATAGCAAGATACGAATCTCAGATGTGTAATCAACCAAATTAGATGAATTACGGGACACCATATCAATACATGGACCCAAATGTCAAAAGAGAGTTTTCTGAATGTGAACGAACTGGTGCCAAGTATAATTGAGGTAGTTCCAAAAGCAAAGGATAGTCCAATCGGGTATTATACCTATATATATATATATATATATATATATATATATATATATATATATATATATATATGTGTGTGTGTGTGTGTGTGTGTGTGTGTGTGTGTGTGGTAAAAAGTTCATAAAAGTTGTTGTTTGTGTCGACAATCCTTCCGTACCTCAATTTATATATACATATTATAAAAAGAATGTATAAACATAATATATATATATAACAGCAAAATTGTCCAATTATTTGATTCAAATGTTGAACCGTTTTATCTTAGAAATGATTAAAGATATCTTAATGGAATTCTCCGAGATTCTCATGACACTACTGGACACTGAACAATCAGAACGTATTTAGCTCTAAGTTGAAATAATGATCCCTCTTGCTGTTGTGAGCTCCTGATCCAGTGTTCCATCTTTTTTAAACTTATTCACCATTCTCTTGGTGGTTCTTGAATGGACTTTGAAGATGGAATCTAAAATATGAGTGCTGGAACCATTACTGAAGATCTGAATTATATTTTTCGTCTCACCATTGCCCAGTTGGGAAGACATGGTAGAGCTGACACAAAACGATTTTAACTTGTTCTCTTTCTAGCTGAATAATTCAAAGGTTTTCTCAATGATTCTTACAACAAATGGTGTTAAGATGTCTAACTATCTTATCTGTAAAAGAAACTCAATTAGGTTAGTGTGTTTTTTTAAATATTAAACATTTTGTGGTATAGACAATTATCGCATGCTGTTACTCTGTTTGTACAATTTTTCTATTACACCCGATATATGAATTTCTTTGAATGAGATGTCTAGTGTTTTAGTTTAGGGTTAGAAAATGAGTGCCTATGGGTATAAAATCTCTGAAACAGAGAAATGTTTGAGCCCACAGATAATTTGGAAGATTATAATTTCCGTACATACTCCTAATAGTCTTGGTGATAGGTGTGACTTATGTTTATAAGAAAAACTTAGAATAATAGAATACAATAATCAAAGCTAACTATTAAATCAGAGGAATGAATTAGTGTTGAAATGTCGGCATAAAAACAAATTCAAATTTACATAATATACGTTTAACTTAATTAGCTACCATATTTCCATAATATTCACTCCCCTCTAACTCTTCAAAAGTTGAATGTATAACTAATTCTAATTTCTATATTTCCCACCCTCTTTACATATATTAATTACAATTTATAAACTTTCCACTAGTCTAAGATATCCCCAACTCTCTTTCCATTAAGCCCTTTCCCCCTTTCTCTATATATTTTAAAGTTATTTTAAACCAATTTTTATTCCTCGTTTAATTATATAAATATTCTTCCCTTCAAGACAAATACCTTCAACCACCCCCTGACTCGTGCCTCGTGCTTTTCTTCTGACTGAAACATTGAAATGGATAAATTTTGTTAAATGGTTGAAAAATAGACACCCTTTAGTTTCCATGACTATAATTTATTTCAGTAGAAAATATATTTTTCTGGGTTCATCAGGTCACATCTCTAGTTGCCGCTTTGGAATTATCTATACAGATTACCAAACACTTCATTACCTTATATAACTAGACTCGTTTCGAAAAACCCTCGAATTTTTGATTTGTTAATCAAATCAATTTCGAGGGAAAAAAAGGTTTTAAAAAAGAAAGAGCTACAAACATGAACTTCTGCCGACAAAAATCGCACAGATGCAGGTCTGAAGCCCAAAGAAAAAACCCGATACGAGTAACAACTAACTAACAAAAGCGCTCAATACAACCGTAGAGCAGACCTAGATATACCTAGAGTCAGACAAACCTACCTAGGTTTCACCTAAACGGATCGTCAGGAAAGCTTTCCTGACGATCCGTTTAGTTGAAACCTAGGTAGGTTTGTCTGGCTCACTAGGTATCTATATATATATATATATATATATATATATATATATATATATATATATATATATATATGTATGTATGTATGTATGTATATATAAAAGAGAACATAGTTTGTTTCTGTTTCATGCTAGATGCAATCGGCAGGCCACCTGTCGATTGAATCTAGTATGAAACAGACTGTCGCTTCTAAGTGTTGACTTCTATGTTCACTTTTATATTTACACACGCTCTATCTCTGATATTGAGCACTTTATCCCATAAATATAGCACACCTTTAAGACTATATTTCTTCATACACACACACACACACATACACACATATGATATATATATATATATATATATATATATATATATATATATATATATATATATATACCCAAAACAGATTTGCTTAAAAAGATGCAAAATTTCTGTCTGATAATTTTTTGTTCTATTTTTCCTATTTCGAATAAGGTGTTCAGTATTGTGTTCGAAATTTGAGATATACTCTCAAAGATTTATAGTGTTACTGTTTTGTTCAATTACTTTCGACCGTGTCAGTTATTTTCAAGAACCATGTGTCTGTGTGGTAATCAGAATTTTTTTGCTTACAGGCTGGTTTTCCTTCGATGTAGACAAAGATATTAATAACCGGTTATTTATTACTTAATAATGTTCAACCATATATAAAAACCATGAAATTATCGCTTTGTTGAAATGTATTCCATTTCCTTTCGCCTCTACTAACAATGACGATCCATCATCTGCATATGCAAATTCTGTAATTGCTTTTAGTCCAACTAGGAGTAGATCCTCATCAATTGTGGCCTTATCCCAAATTAATGCAATATTAATAAGTAGTTTCTTAGAAAAATAATGAGGAAAGAGGGCTTAGAAAAGTTAATATTCACAGGACATATTGAAACCAAAATGGAGAATTAAGATAGTAGGCCAGCTACGTCGCGAGCGTGTGTAAATAGATGGCGGAAATGGAGGAGAAGAGATGCCAAATTAACAAATTTTGATAAGAGCTACAAAGAATACCAGGTTGTAAAGAGCTATGTTCGCCAACGTCCTGAATAGACACAGCGCAGTAAAAATTAATAATAATAATAATAAACGGTGTGTATGTGGCAATGGAGTATCTGTTAGTAAGGTACTTACCTAAACTAGTATTATTTTTTCTGGGTGAGTCACAATTGTGTCCTTTTGTCAGATAAAACTTTATTGATATTCTTTTATGTCCTGCTTTTAACCATTTTGTTTTTGTAGAAGTGTCTCCATCTTTTTGACGTTTCTTCTGACCTCGTTGTTCAGCAGCACCTGGAGTTCTTTTTATCTTGCTTATTCATTTTTCTTTTTTGTTTAACTTCACAATATCTTTTCATCTTTAATTCCGTCTTTGCGATTGACTTTTTCTGCATTTCCTTCCATTTTCTTTTCTTTTGTCTATTTGTCTGTCTCGTTCTCCTTTACCCATTATCCGAAACATTCGCATCTAATTCACTTTTCTTCTTCATCTTAATTATTCATCTTTATTCTCTTTTTTTTCATTTTTCTCCCTTTTACTTGTATTTCCCAGTTCTTCTTATTCTTCTTTTTATTCTTTTCCTTCTTCTTCTTCTTCTTCATCTTCTTTATCTTCCGTCACTTTTTCTTTCTTTTTTGTCATTCATCTTATTTTCTTCTTCTTCTTCTTCTTCTTCTTCTTCTTCTTATTCATTGTAATTCTTTTTCTTCTTCTTCTTCTTCTCATTATCATTCTTCTTCTTTTTTTCATTTGTGTCATTCTTTTTTTTCGTCTGCCAATCTTCTTCAATTTCTTCTCTTTTTCGTTTTTCTTCTTCTTCCTCTTTGTCTTTCCTCTTCCTCTTTTTTAGCGCTTTTTATTACCCCACTTTCACATTCTTCTTCTTCTCCTTCTTCTTCTTCTTCTTCTTCTTCTTCTTCTTATTATTATTATTATTATTATTATTATTATTACTATTATTCACCTCCTACTCTTCTTCGTGATTCTTCTTTTGACCTTACTTTCTCTTTCACCTGATTCTTCTCTATCATTCTTCTTCTTCTTATTATTATTATTATTATTATTATTCTCTGTCATTTTTTCTTTTTTTTTTTCTTCTTCTTATTCCTCTTTGTCATTCATCTTCTTCATCCACCTTCTTCTTACACCGCTTTCTCTTTTTCGACTTCTTGTTCTTGTTTTTGTTGTTCTTCTTCTATCTTTATCTACCGCCATTTTTTT